ACATTTTTTTTTTGTTTATTAAATTCATAAAATTACATAAATGTATTTTTTTTTAGCGTTAAGTATTTGTATATAAATGCAGAAACAATTTATCGCCTTCTAAAGTCGTTAATAAAAATGTACATTCACAAGTGTAATTCTAATATTGTGTCAGACTTTCGGCAGAATATTCATGATCTATTAATTATAGCCTTTCAAAAATGAATTCCGCTCTTAACTTACAATTTCATTTTAATACTTTTGTTGAAATTAATTATGTGTAATAAACGGTTTATTCGAATCGGTTGAAATTATATATATATTAGTTTAAAATAAATAATTATGACGTAAGTCGTGTATAAATAAATTGATACTAATTTGCATCAGCATTTTCTTATACTGAGATCGTTAGGATCTTTTAAAAAGTTATGATCGGGATAGGTTCCAACTAGTTGAACCGTTATCAAAAAGAGGACACATAGAAACGACAGTAGAATCCTCAATAGTAAGTAATCTACTTGATAAATTTTGCATGACCCAAATCTGCCGCAAAAATTTCACCCATCACATGCAAAGGAGTAACCTGCCCGTTTCCTTGGTCATTTTCAACTATATTTATCTAATTTGATTATTAAAGAGTTTTGATTATACAAAATTCTAGCTTCCTTAGCCAGATTTTTGTAAAAATTTTTTACGTCTTATGGTTCCTTATACCAAGTAATTTTGCAATACTTGATAATAGACTCATTGGAGGTAATTTGATGTTTTTATTACGATATATATTTTTTGTAATGCCATTCTGTACGCGATAAAAGAGTTTGGGTGATTTTGTTTTTACCGCTTTCAAATGCGTTTGATTTTATAATATTTTTTGATGAGATCTTTTATCATTAAATCTGGAGGGAATGTAAGTTTGATATCAGTGCGAACTTTATTAGAAATCGTTTTCTCTAATAGTAGTCTCACTATTCGACCAGCACTGTCTACATATTAAATTTTTTTTTTTTGTCAATTTTTTTAAAAAAAGGAATAAATTATATTTATATATTTTTTTTTAAATAAAAACAAAAAAATTTTAAGGCATTTATACAAATTAAGGAATTATCGTGAAAAAAATGGATCGTGTCGTGAGAAAATATGCTTGCCTATTGAAACTCTTCACGAATGGAGGCGGAGACCATTACACATAGGAAGAAGTTCATGTGATTGGCTAATTTAACTACCAAGACGATCAATAATTGACCAATTAAATTTAATATCAACAAGTTCATCAATATCAGCTGCACCCGATTTTTCAGCGCAAGTTCCGATGCCTACTGCGAATCCAGTAACCACTTTAACTAACGACGTTCTGCAAGCCAATATGCTTGCAGCTGGCGAAGGGAGTGTACCTTTTAACGCTATTGGTGGAGATTCAGAACCAAGGGGCATTGTACTAAATGAATTTGGACCATCTACAATGGAAATGGATTAAATAAGTTACATAGCCTTTTAACATTCCATAAAATGAAAATAAATAAAAACAATTTATTTTTATTGGATAAATAAAGGTTATTGAGTTTAATCCATGATATGCTTTAACTTCAGTCATTTTTTTTTGGACGCAAATTGAATTAAAAGTGGTCTAGAAAGAATTAATAAATTTCAAGAAACTTGAAAGGAAGTTGACGTAGTCGATGATAAAATTATTGTTTAACATATAAAGATTATTATTATGCAATGATTAACGCAACTATCTGGTAATAACTATCGCATTAAACATATGATGACATGAAAAATAAATGAAATTGTTTCGCTTCGGTTGATCACGTGATTTAAAACGAACATATTAAATCATATGATCCGTAACTGCATGGTTAAAAATCCACCATTGGTCGAATTTTGCATGATGATCAACATTGATTATCCAATAAAATTCGTTATAATCACGTGACAATTTTTTTTAAGTTTCGATAGCGAAGAGAAATTTTTTATTTGTTTTATTCATAATTTCTTTTTTTTTCTATGTAATGTAAAATTTCGTGTATTAAAACGTTATCAAAAAATAAAATAGATTATTATTATTGTTGCATTTGTGTAAAAGCTAAGTGAAAGCAATTCGAGTCAGTTGTAAAGCATAATTATTTTATATTAATAC